CCCGTAGAGACAGTAACTTGCGAATCCATCGCACAGAGACTGGCGAACGAGTGCCTGCAGCACCCACATACACTTGCCGCATCTGTCTCAACTGCCCTCAATACCCCCACATATTCACTCGCCCTCTGGGCCTGCTAGGTCATATGCAAATTTGAAAGAACGGAATCTACCGCAACCTCGAATCTTTTAACACTTCCTGCACACCAGTCACGCCTAGGTCAACCCACACCCCACCATCCACTGCGCTCACCGCCAGCGGTTCCACCATCACCACCACTCTCGTCACCCAAACTGACTCCGAACCCACCGATCCATCGTGTCCACACTGTTCCCCACATCCACCTCACTCGTTGGATTGGGCGGTCAATGCGAATCCATCGCACGGAGACTGACGACTCAGTGCTTGAAGCACCAACATACACCAGACGCATCCGCCTCTCAACCGCCCTCACTGCACCCGCACATTCACAAACCACATGAGCCTGTAGGGCCACCCGTGCACTCACGGAAGCCTGCGGCAGACGAGCGCTGGCTGCACAACTTCACATCTCCCACTAGCACCCGCACCGCAAATAATAATAATGATGATGAAAAAGGAAGAGGTTCTCCGCAAGAACTCGAGTTATGCTCGTGAATTCTCGAGTTGGTGACACCAACCCGTCGTCAGATGAAATGAAAATAAAAGATAAAGTGAGACAGTCATGCTGGAATAGTTGATGCGACAGGGCAGGCCATTAGCCTGTGAAGAGTAATGCGGACAGGGAGTCACGCCGGGTGAAGAGCCGGTAGGGGGAAGAGAGCAGTAACGGCTCCACGTCTTGCAGGGGGAGGGGGAAGGAGAATGGTAGATTGGCGGAATTGAAGGCGCCCGGATTAGTGGCTGCTGATGCGGCGTGAGGCTCGGCTTAATGAGGCGTGATCTTAGGCCCTCATAATGGGCGTCTAGGTCAACGTGGCGGTTGATGCTGTCCGCATTCGAGTACCATGCCTCTAGGAATTCTCTCGCCCGTTTTGTGTCGGCCGTGGCGCTGACCTCAGTGTCATCCCAGTTGAATCGGTGGTCGGACTGGAGTGCGCGGGCAAAAAGACGAGGGACAGTGAGTCATGGCGACGGACAGTTAGTTTGTGTTCATTAATTCGAGATCGCAGGCGCCGTCCTGTATGACAACATGACCTGTGGCAGATAAGTGCCGGCTACACAACACCAATCCATCTCCTCCCATCAGCATACGCACCACAACTCAACATCATCCATCACAAGCATCCAACTGCTACCTCCCACGCAACTGTGAAGTGTGCGTCTCGGCTCCTTCTCCTTGCGGCTCCTCTGCTGCATGTGTGATTACAGTCTAAAACTATCACGTTGCGTCAAGCACCGTGGCTTGGAAGGCTGTTGACTGACGCCCCATCCAAGTCCACGCATTCAACCCAGTTGTATGGAGTGGCGGACTGGTGGGATGAGTGCCGGGCCGAAACGGCTTCTTCTTGATGTGACCTACGGCACTCTCACGCATGTGAGATGTATGCTAGCCGACCTCCGTTGTGTGAAATACCGGTGCCTGTGTCTAGTGGGCCAGGTTGTGCATGCAGCGTGCGTAGACAAGGTCACGGGACATGTCTGTCACCGCGCACATTCACGCACCTGCCAACTGACCGGCTCTAACAGTGGCCGCGTACTGGGGAACGCGAGGGCGAGTGAGGAAGAAAACTCGGTTCATTTTCCTCACTATAAACGATCAGAGACGAATGAAGACATCACGTGACGCTAAATGCAGCGTTTTGGAAGGTTGCCAATTGTCACGATTACAGTGTGTGTTTACGTGCAGCGGCCGAATGGTGGTCTAAGGGTCAGGCTGCAATGGCTCCTTCTCAATGTAACCATTATGAAACTCCTTATCCATGGGATCCTGACCGGGTGTGGCGGCACGACAATGGGCGCCCCCGGTGGTGTCAGCAACCTGGGCACTCTCCTATCTCTGGTCAATTTGACAGCGGGCCCAAGTGGAGGAGGTGGGAGTGTGGCAGATGCTGCGTAAGTCCGCACTCACTAAATCATGCATAATTCACCGTCTCGGCTCTCACCTCGATGTGGTGCGCACGGTGGGCATCGTTGGCAATGACGGTAGAACCGCCGGGTGCTGCATTGAGGTGCAATTGCATGTGTGATTAATCTAACTAGGTCACACTCACTAGGAATTGCGTGGGGTGGAATCGCAACACATAAAACTCACACGGTAGTCCACAGTATGCGAGGACAGCACTCTGCACAATAGAAATTGATTTGTCTCTTGACTGACACTACTGTCGGTAAGCATGCGATAAAGCGCTGACGGCTAACACCTCAACATGCAAGTTGCCTAAACAGGGTAAATTTTTGCGCAGAAGACAAATAACCCCATCATCTTGCGTAAATGTGCACAAATGTATTCACGTAATGAAATTCGTCTTCATCACCTATTGAGGTAATGCCTTCCCTGGCATTCTCTCCGGCCACTCAGTCAACATTCTGCATTTGTAGCGGGCAGGCATCATGACCGGCCTGGTTCAAGACCTTGCTGCTTCAGTGTCATTCATCACTTGCAGCGAGCCATTCCAGACGCACTGACCTGAATCCACCTGCCGACTTCAGCTCGGACACAACTGCGTCCTCACAGCGTCGGGGCTACCCGTGCGCCACTTGACCAGGCCACCCCCTGCAACCTGCAGAACAAGCCACTTGGACACCCCCCCCCTCGTAAAATGCAACACAAACCCACACACACACTAACACACATTGGAGACCACATGAGCCTGGCCAACGAGCTTGCAAAAGCGGCTGCCACCACTGTCCCAGGGACTCTCAGGCATGACTGGACGCAGTCAATACCAGCCCTGGCTTCGCCAATGACCACTGCCAACTGAAAGGACAAACCCGGGTTCTGTGCACAATAAACCCCTCATTCTGGTGCCGTCTGTCTTCTCTTTCCAGCACAGAAGTTGACCTGGTGGTAGCAGCGCTCAGACTACAGCCACGATCAACTCCGCGCAGTCGCTACACACTCCAAGGTCTCTCCGTCAGTCATACTACACACGTTCCATCTGTCCTAAACACGCTCGCACGCGGTCTATTTGTGCTTACTGAAATAAAAACACTTAGCATAAAATAGGCAAAGTAGTCGGCAGGTTGCACACATGGTGCCCCTGCTCAAAGGGCAATTTATTGAAAGAAAACATTAACAAACACGTGGGCGGCAACGCTCTCCGCATATACGTCCCTTGCGATCGAGCAGCCTTCAAAGGCACTGTTACAACTGGCTGCAGCACCCCGTCCTCTGTCATTGTGTTCGAACAACTCGCAACGACAAGATGTCTCCAGCCCTTGTCGCTGCTTACAAAAGTGCCATCAAACTGGGTGATGCAGAGACTGGCCGAATTAATCCCTACCTCTGGGTTTTAGACGGTCTGGTGCCATCCATCACCAAGACAGCTTATAGGAGGCCGGAGAAGTCCAGCGTCCAGCTGAAAATATACATGATGCGATGGTTGAAGACCAACGTACAGAAACTTCGTAAGAAGTACAAAAAGTACAATGGCGATCGAAAAGTGGACACAAAGACCCTCAGTCCATCTTTGAGGAGGGGGGACACAAGCTCCAGCGAATCTGCTGCAAAGTTGCATTATGCGACACCTCAGGCAGTTCCAAGCTTCATTCCGCACATTTTATATGCAGATGATCAGAACGCAGGCTGCCAGTCAGGTAGGTGCACCCTAATGCCTCATATACATAACAGACTACTACCCCGTTAAGAGCTCACAATGCCTTCCAAGAGAAGATTTGATGGACCTCGACGTAATCAGGTCTCATCATCTACATAATCACCTCGCCCGCCGCGTAAGTTGCCTGACAAGGACTTTTCATCTACTCATCTGCTCCTAGATATCACAGCCCGATATTGGCACTGCAGTTCAAGTTGTCATAAACGTGGAGAACAAGGTTCGTCCGGTGGTCACCAATCTCCACCGAGCCTTCACAAATGCATTTTGTGCAATGCTGACGGAAGAGTTGAAAGGGTACGTAGGCCGACCTTGGTGTTAATTTGACTGTGTAGAGAGACAGCGAAGCATTTCTAACGAGAATCGTCTTGTTATCCTGCAGGTTGCCTGAAGATGGTCAATGGCCGCAGGAAGCAGTTATGCCGGTAGGGCGACCAAAGCGTCATCATGCTTGCAAGCATCGTCAGCCAGCTGGTGTTGGCGTGATCGTTTGCGCCGAAGGCAGAAACCAGCGGCAGCGGCATCCTCGTCGGCAATGGTGGTTGCATCGAGGGGAGTTGTTGATTTGCGTTGGATGACTTGTTTCCTGTATGCTAGTCACGAGCGGGATTGTGTGGAGCACTTGCAATACAAAGTGCATTTGCGGCGGGTTTGTCGCTTTTGTCCACCGGACTGGGCCGCCACCGGTTTGATGAGGCAGATCACACCGTTCTCCACTCAAACATGACGGTATGTTCATTTGGCAGATATAATCCACCCAAATTCTTAATCACAGTGGCCTGCGCGTGGCGGTAGTTGAAGACTGAGGAAGTTGAGAGAACCAGTCCAGAAGACGTAGATGGAACTGAAGGTAGAGAAGAGGACTGACGATTAGATTAGGAAGCGAATTTTGATAACGAGTGCACCGTGTACTCTGGTGTCTGGCCGTATACCTTATCACATAGGTTTCACGTCTTTTACATGATTTAGGCCTATTTTCCATATTTCCTCATTGCTGTTATGTACGCTAAGCATTTTCTTCGAGTTTGCCTATAGATATTAAGATCATCCCAGGGCTAGTCTCTGTAAAATTTTGATTGACTAGGAATGTCTGTTGCTGCAATTACATGCAGTCACATATTTGTAGCACAAGAGTCCACTAAATTGCAGATTTGGGAGTTAGGTTGACAGATGAACTCCTAGATGCTGCGTCAAGGAATACTTGATTAATGTTCTGACACCTGTTTCGGCAAGATGTGGCGTCTGTTTAAAATGGACGGGCGAGTGAAACGAGAACACTTGACGTGAACAAGCGAAGATGGCGTGAGCATGATGTATAAGCAAACGCACGAAATCGGGTGTATGCAAACTGCCCCGTTCTTGGTAAAATGAGAGTGTGGCGAGATGTATTCGAGGCACTCTGTTTCGCTGTCATTCCTCCGCAGCACGAAATGCATCCCCGAAAACGCCAGCGAAATTTTCACCATCGAGAACGACTATATCCAACATGTGTCCCAAAAGGCGACGAATAGGGGCGATGAATTGGGCATGTGCTGGATGGCAATCTAAGTAAATTTGTATAGCAACTGCCCCACCTTCTATCTCACTCGCAGTGGCTCAACGGCAAGACGGAGTCAGGACGATAATAGACGTACTCGGGCGAAGTAGCCTGTCTGCGTGTGTTGCATATGATCTTGATCCCATACAATGTACCAGGTTTTCACATGAAGGGATGTACAAGTGGCTTGTTGTCTCAACGGTCGGCCGTCTTCCACCCACGACATTTAGCGTGTGAGGCCGAATGCTGTGCATGTTTCGACGGTTCCATATTAATCCATTTGCAATAAATGCAGAGGTGATGTTTAGCCCAACTCGAATCAGCGACCCTTCTCGGGTAGTTTGCTATCATTGGATTCGACCTCATTTCAATTTCCCACTCCCTCTCTCACCCGCCGGTCTACCGTCCGAGCCTTCTAACCAACTAGTGCTGGGATTGAGCGCTCTGGCAAATAGAGCTGCAGTAGCTTGTCTATATGTGTAACGCAGGACCTTGTTAAGCATCCAGTTGGATCGACTGCGTCTAGTTGGAATTGGGTGTACGGTTTGGGTTCAGACTGTACTGTTTTGTCTCAAATTTACGTGGAGGTGCATATGGCCGAATGAACCAAGAGAAGACAGAACACCCCTGGACAGGTCTCCTGGTGACAACTAACTAGTTTCTGTGCGATGGATTCCTAAATGACCAATCAGGCCGACTTGTGATGTTAATGTGCGGTGGCTGTATGCACAAAGCGTATTTTGGCTGTTGATCTGGAGGTTTTTGCGGCACATGTGGGGGCGTTTTGGACGGTGGTTATAGAGGTTATGCACTTTACAGTGCTAAATTTTATCGTTTGTAGTATGGTACCCTGGTGTTGCCGTTGTCCATGTTCACGACAGTCTGAATGCGATAAAATCTGAAGTAACTGAACGGGCTAAGGTGGGCCAAGTAAATAAGTAATGATTGGTTTCTCTTACTGTATATGTGTCCCTTACCGACTTCTTAGATGGCCGTCGTCGTCGCCATCGTCGAAGCTGTCTCCTCTAGCGCATTGGCTCGCATTGACGTCTTCGGGCATAAGGCACATGGTGAGACGGTCCGTGCACCAGATCCCAACGGCATTAACGATGCCGTCCGCCACTATTTATCTAACTCACGTACAAATACTCTTATTTCACAGGCAGCTTCACCCAAGACATATCCAACATCCGGCACAAATGAGGGCGCTGGATGCTCAGCAGTCAGGCTAATTGGCAGATGCGAAATACAAATTTGATTAAAACCATTTCAAATGTCCCTGGCATGCAGATCCGTGTACTATTCGACGCGCTAGTCTCGTGGCAAACGGAGGCTCTCAGTCACCACTCCACTTTCCGGAGCAGCAACAACATGGTCGTTTGAAACACAACATGCAATGCGTTTGCACAAAATATAGACATCTAGCCCTCTTAAATTGTCGTACTATCTCAAAGTAAGCAGGGATTGAAGGTAAACAGCCAGCCATCTAGTACGAAGGAAGGCTGAAGTTCAGATATGGCCGAGTAAATGCAAGCAATAAGGAAATAGGGAAATCTGTCCTTGTAGTTTACAAAGACGCGAGACACATGTGAGCCCTCATACGGTGAGACATTAGGGTCCGTCTCCTCACTGTCGAAATCTCGTGTCCTTAGCTGATCACAGTTACCCCCTCAACCATCACTTCCATGGACACCTTCCTCCAACTTCCACATCTTTGAATTGCTGCCTAGTGTGTCCTGTTGTGATAAGGGATTTCTGCTGGATAATATTTGCTATAACGCGCACACCCTCATGCTTGAATGGGGCGGTGCAGTTTGTCTCTTCGGATCTCTGGAGACCGTCCTGTTCGCGCTGGGCACAGTGGCCAAATCAACTGAAAATGCACTGTTGGTTGCAAGTGCTTCGCATAAGTTTGGTTGCGGCGAGTATGCAGGAGATGAGGAGGCTTGCGCGAAGCAGTGATTTTTCTCGATGCTGCCACCGCCTGATAGGCGCTTCTGTGTGCTTCGCAGTTCCGATGCATGCTAAAAGTTCCTGTATTGTGTAGTAGTACGGCCTGCACAGCGACCGTATGTAATTAGGGCAGTAGTGCATGTCTGTGATAGAAACCCGATTTCAAACCACCTCCTTTCCAATAAAGTCTGTATGAAAGCAAATGCCTTATTCTACTCCTGCTTGTTACTGGATGCCAACCTGTCTCTAAATGGTGATATCAGGTGTGATAGTTGTTAGCTTGAATGATGACAATTTCAAACTGGTGCGGGCACCTCCGCGGGGATTGGCCGGTGGCTTAAGGCGATAATGCTGCCAAAGGCACTTTACATTATTTCGTTCCCAGTTAATCATTGTTCTTATGAAGTCGGCGGTTGCTACAAAGATGTGGTGACAAACTGTGTCCGAAGCGTCCGTTTAGTGTCTAAACCTAACTCTTGAATAGAAAATGTTTTTGAGAGCGAGAGTTGGCTAGTCGGGGCAAATTTCGAAGTCGTCTTATATGACAGACATTTACTGTTCGAATGAGCATTGCCAAAAACTCACGAGCGAGGAAGAGAGAGCACATCCACCTTTAGTAGTGCAGAGGAAGTAAGATAAGAGCGTTAGAATAGAAATAGAACATGCGCACTTGTGAATCTCAAGACTATAGTCTCCTATAGGAGCTGATGGGTCTGGCAGGAATCAAAGCATCGAATGCAGCGAACAAGATTTAGAGTTGTATTAAAGTGGAATTTTAGTCTGAAAGCTGAATGTCAGATCGAAAAACGCTAGCGTATCATCCAGGTACCAGAAATGGAGACATCACTGGGAGGAATTCCGGCGCCTGGAATCTGCGCAGATTCAGGAGTAGGTTACAGTCACGTCGCGAATTCAAAAAGTCCCACCGATCAAATTTTTACTTACATTTTTATCTTATAAGATACGGGACTTAAGTCTGATATGGCCTAATTAGTCCATATGCAACTATATGAGATCATACTAAATTAACATTAGCAATCAAAAATATGACATATAATTCAATATGTTTGACATCTTGGACTTTTACTTACCCCTCAATGTTCACTGCTCTTGATATATATTCATCTTTTCCAGCTGTTAATCCAAGCAAAACTAATGAACGGTACGACCAAACCTTAAGGGCCAATTGGCCAATGCCCAACTATTTTGACAACCGGTGGCTATCAGACACTAATTTGTTCAACTCGAACACAATTTTAATGGCAGGCCGATGTCAAAGGCCTTCAAGTCTCACAAAAGGGCGATGCATTCATGGCCACAGATCCTACAAAACGCCAGACGTCATTCTCCATGATGCATTGTACATTTTTCTAACTTCGCTATTATTTTGCCTTGGAAATCAAGTTCTTTTATTCAAATTAAAACAAACTCTGCATTCGCAGACACCTAAATTCAAAGAAGACAAAGTGCAGGCGAAAGGGATGAGTTTGGTTTAGGTTTTTGCCTGTATTGAAAGGAGACTAACGGTGCCCAGGAAGTGCTCTAATAGATCTATTCGACTCCCTTCGAAAGATTTTTTTGCAAACCGTGACTACCCCTGCCAGCACCAGCCCCGCCTAACCCCATCAAAAATGGCGGGGGTGGAGGGGGTTATGAAGGGGCTAGGCGGAGATGTGGTGGAGCATTCAACGCGATAGCCCAGCCCGGCCCCGCCAGCGAAAAAATGCGCAGGGGACGCCATATCCCGCCCACTTTTGGCACCACTTTAAAATATCGTCCTGTGTGGCTAGTCGCCTCAGGCGAAGTACCCCACTGTTCCCACATGTTACGCGTCGAAACCCATTTTGCGTACGTAGAGTACTACGGTATTACATAATGCCGACGCGGCGGGAATTCGAGAAGTACTTGCTACAAAAAGCAACGCAGAACCCAAAATTTCTCTACAGCTACCTCCGACGAACTACAAGGAACAGGCATCAAATCCCTTTGATAAAGACTACTGATGGCGATGAGATCGCTGATAGTAGGGATAAAGCTGCGTATTTTTCACGGTTTTTCCAATCAGTCTACACAAACGAGGCAAGGTTCCTTCCTCCCTCCACAGAAGAACTGCCGACTCCAAGCGTCAGTGATATACTCTTCTCAGAAGGCATTGTCCGAAGAGAATTAGAGGCATTGAACGAATCGAAGTCGCCAGGACCAGACGAGATCCCACCCAAGCTTCTGATGGAACTTGCCAGTGAGCTCTCTGTGCCTTTGTCGATGCTCTTTCGAACGTCATTTGACACTGGAACACTTCCTGTCGATTGGAAGCTGGCGCATATTACTCCGCTACGCAAAGGAGGTAACAGGGCAGCGACGACAAATTGCCGTCCATAAGCTTGATATGCATTCTCTGCAAAGTTATGGAAAGGATCATAAAGAGTGAACTGATGCAATTCCTGGAAGTTCACGGCCTGCTATCGAAATGCCAACATGGGTTCCGAGCAGGAAGATCCTGCACGACAAACCTGCTGCAATCTCTCCAGAGCTGGACCCGAGCTCTCGACGACAGGCACGCGGTCCACATAGCCTTCAGAGACTTCCAGAAGGCGTTCGACACTGTGCCACACCAAAGACTCTTACATAAGCTGAAAAAAAAGGGATCGGTGGCAACTTCCTTAAATGGATCGAAAACTTTCTTGTGGGTCGACACCAGGTGGTGTGCGTCGGTCGGGAAAAATCAGATCCGGCTATGGTCGATAGTGGTGTCCCCCAGGGTTCAGTTCTGGGACCCATTTTGTTCCTTATCTACGTGGACGATGCCGCAAGAGATTTAGACTGTGAAGTAGCAATGTTTGCGGATGACATGAAGATATGGAGTGTAATTCGGGGTCCTTCCGATGAAGACAGACTGCAGATGAACCTGAATCGGTTGGAGGAGTGGTCAAACCGTTGGCTCCTGCGATTCAACGTTGCCAAATGTAGCATACTTCACCTAGGCAACACAGTCAGATCCGCCAGCACAAGAAACTACTTTCTGGGCGGTGCAGCCCTACAAGAGGTCGAAGCCCAAATGGACCTCGGTGTGCTGACGACGAGTTCCCTAAAACCATCCGCCCATTGTTCGAGGGTGGCAAAAAGCGCAATGTCCGTACTGTACGCCATCAAGCGTGCGTTTATGGACTTCGACGAAGAAGCTTTCTCTAAGACATTCGGAACATTCGTCCGGCCGCATTTAGAGTACGGCATACAAGCTTGGAGGCCGTGGGCTGTTATGGATCAAAACTGCCTCGAACGAGTCCAGAGGATAGCCACGAAGATGGTTAGGGGTCAAAGCTCCTTTCCTTATGCAACCCGCCTAGTAAATCTGAACCTCTTTCCTTTGAGTTACAGGCAACTTCGCGGAGATCTCTTGCAAGCCTTCCGCATTGTAAAGGGGTTGGATTGCAGTCTGGCCTTCGAAGACTTTTTTGAATTTGCTACCACGACCAACCTCCGAGGTCACCCGTTAAAACTGCGCACTAAGCAGGCACGGCTGGATGTGCGGAAGTTCTCCTTCGCGGTTCGGGTGGTCAAGCCATGGAATGATCTTCCCGCAGATTTTGTGATGTCACCATCTATATAAGTCAGTTTATTAAGGGCATGAGGCTTTCGCCCTTGAGCACCCTATTCATGTCGATAAACAGAAATAAAGTCATCAATTACATCAGCAAATGCGAAAAGTTAAGAAGTTAGCGGTAAGTGTGAGCCAGGCGCAAACTGCCGCCGCTAAAACAATCATTATTGTATGTACAGTAGGTTCTCAACAAGTGAACGTCTAGTCTGCACTTAAAGGATTTAACACTTTCGGAAAGAACGACGGCATCAGGGAGTCCATTCCATGCCCCGATGACCCTGTGTGAGAAGGCGTTCCGTCGGACGTCCGAATGAGCCCGCTTCCTTTGCAGTTTGAACGGATGACCACGCAGACGGTCAGTCCGGGCCAATTCAAAGAATTCATCAAAATCTAGGGCACACTCTCGGCTTCTGACAATCCTGTAGGTTTGAATGAGATCGCCGCGCAGTTGCCTGTAATTTAGAGGAAACAGATTTAGTTCAGTCAGCCTGGTTTCGTAAGGCAAATGATGAAGATTCTTGACCATCTTCGTAGCCATCGCCTGTACTCTTTCCAGTCGTTGATAATCTTTCTTTAACCACGGTCGCCAGGCCTGGACTGCATACTCTAAGTGAGACCGGACGAATGCCCCATAGGTTTTTCCGAACAGCTCCTTGTCGATCTGCACAAATCCTCGCCTCAGCGCAAATAACACCCTTATCGCACTTTTGGCTGCCCTTTGACACTGTGAAGATGGTTTCAGCGAGGAGGTCATTAGGACTCCCAGGTCTTTCTGTTCCGCAACATTTGAAAGGGACTGACCACCAAGGACATATTGAAAGGAATCGTCTTCCTTACTGGTCTGTCTTGTGCGGAGTCTCAGGACTACACATTTGTCCACATTAAAATTGAGGAGCCAGCGAGCTGACCAACTGTTTAGGCGGTTGAGACTGTCTTGAAGCGCGTACCTGTCGGCGTCAGATCTGATGGGTCTCCACAGCTTAACATCGTCAGCAAACATGATGGCGCTGCATCCCAGGTCGTCGACGCAGTCGTTAATGTAAACCAGGAATAGCAACGGCCCTAAGACGGAGCCCTGGGGTACACCACTTAGAACGGGAGTAGGTGTTGACCTTGAGGCCTCAATGCACACGGTTTGCGATCTCCCGGTAAGAAAATCTGTTATCCATGTCAGCAGCCGTCCTCTTATCCCAATTTCAGAAAGTTTGTAGATTAGGCGTTTGTGTGGGACGCTGTCGAACGCCTTCTTAAAGTCTGTGTATATGACATCAACCCTCCCATCCTCATCCAGTGCGCGAGTCCACTGCTCCGTCGAGAGCAATAAACTGGAAAGACACGAGCGGTTCTGTCTAAAGCCGTGCTGCAGGTCTGAGATTAAATGGCCCTGCTCCAGGAACTCCATAGTTGCTTTCTTAACTATGGCCTCCATTATTTTACAGCAGATGCAGGTTAGACTAACGGGCCGGTAATTGTTAGCATTAGTGCGAGCCCCGCCCTTGTATATCGGAAAGATATTTGCTGTCTTCCATTCCGATGGCAACCTCCCTAATTCGAATGACGAGCGGAAGATGTGCGCCAGTGGTTTGGAAAGTTCATTCGCCAGTTCCTTCAAGAATTTGGCCGGTATATTGTCCGGACCCGAGGACTTTGCTTCTTTGAGATTTTTCAGCTCCCTTTCCACGGCAGCTGCCGGGAAGAGTATGGAGTCAAGCACGGGACCAACAGTCTCAAGAGCATTGCCGGTACTGCGACAGCGAAACTCTGTTCCTCTAGTAAAAACGGAGGCAAAATACTGTCCTAAGTGTTCGGCTTTCTCGTTGTTCTCAATGATCTCTACACCATCATCATCATCATCATTCAGCACCGCGACCGGGTCCTTATTTTTCAGTCTACTGTTCAGATAGTGAAATAAAATCTTAGGCTTCTGTTCAGCCTGTCGTGTAATTTTGGATTCATACTCCTTCCGTGCCTGACGGATACATTTTTTGACGGCGTTTCGTTGACGACGAAATTCTTCGAAATGCGCTGGTGACGCAGTTTCCCTGAATATTTTCCATCTTTTGCTTTTCTTCCGTAGCTACCTATTTAGGTCCCTAGTTAACCAAGCAGGTCGACTAGTTGTTTTTTGTACTTTAGGTGGACAACAGCGCCTAATCAGATCGAGTGAAATCGTTTTAAAAGATCTCCAGTCGTCCTCCGGATCTCCCCTGAATATTTGGTCCCAATTCACGGACAGCAATTCGTTCTTCATCATATTAAAATCTGCCTTCCATATATTAGGTTGGCCCTCTGTTCTCTTCTGGCGTTTAGAGAAGAGCGAGTAATCCCATAATAGCGTGGTATGGTCACTTTTCCCGAGAGGTGCATTGGAATACACTTCGTCGATATTAGAGAAGTCCTTAGTGAAAACTAGGTCTAGACCATTTGCTCTCTGGTTCTCTCGAAATCTTGTTGGTACCTTCACATGTTGCGCCAGAGGGAGATCGAGTGTGAGGTCCAGTAGCTTATTGCTGAAAGAGGCTGGTCCACCATTAACTGCCATAGTTTCCCACTCTATTGCAGGTGCGTTGAAATCCCCAGCAATAGGTACCTCTTGGTGGCTAGCTACGTCTTTGACTAAATCAAGGAGCGACTCATCAGCTGCACTCAGAAGATTTGGTGGTCTGTAAATCGCCAGACATTCTAGATTTTGTGCATTGCTCTTCTTTATCTTTATCCAGACGGATTCATATTCAAGGGATAGGGTGTGGGCTCTTTCAACAGCTGAAATTCCTTCCCTTACATATACGACTACCCCTCCGCCCTGCCTATTTTGACGGTCTCTACGAAACAGCTGGTAACCCGGTATCGAAATCTCAGCATCCATGATTTCGGCATTAAGCCAAGTTTCCGTTATGGCGATGACGTCGGGGATTTGTTCCGGTACTCTCGCTTTGAGTTCGTCGATTTTCGAAACGAGACTTTGAGCATTGGTATACAAAAATCTCAATTTGGCACGAGCAACTCCGGTATACTGGCGTTTATCCATTTCTTGGGATTGAATGCAAAAGCCGGTCGGAGCTGATCGGGATGAACTGCTTTCCATCACTCCTAAGCTGTTAGAGTTATGGGCTTTCTCAAGAGGAATGGCCTCCGGACGCGTATAATTTTTCCGTCCACTATTCGGAGATTTATCTCGCCCAGACTCGACCGCCTCAGGACTTCCAATTTGAGCCCCCTCCATTTTTCTCGCTCCGCGGGTGAAAAGTCCCGCTGAAAAAAAACTGATGGATGGGCGTGTTTAAGCGCAGCTTTCCTGCTCAAAAGTAGCTGTGCTTGTTCGTCATTCTCAAAGACAATTTTTAACGGTCTCGGTCGGTAAGGATCTTGTTTTGAGTCTTTAATTTTGCCCATCCTGAAAGCCTTTAATACAGTGACTTTTTCGTCCCTTATTAAGATCGATTTGAGATATTCATATGTCATGTTGTATTCTGTCCTTTGAAGCGTCGGAAACAGACTCAGGCATGCCCTTTATAACGATGCATTTGCTGCGATCAACTAGACGGCCTTGTGGTATAATCATACCTACAGAGTCTTCATCGCGTGCATCCCGGCTACAACCTTCCACCGAGTTAGGAAGGTTTGATTCAGCAGGACTAACGCATGACTGCCTGTTTACTACGATCTTTTGATCCTTTTTCGTTTTCAGCGGCGCGATTTTCGTGTGCGGCGTAGCCAACTCTTGTTCCCTCGTCTGACTCTCTGTGCCTTTTTGAGGTACATATTTATGTTCCGAAATGACCGAGAGCGATGAGAAGTGGAGTTCACCCCCTGTAACTCCTTCTCATTTTGTCCCACCATTATGGGCGTGTTCGAACTATTTCAGCCCAGAACATCTATCTGTACACCACACATTTTTTACTTGCAAATGGGGTACTCAAAGGCTTACGCCTATTTCCCTCAATAAACTGAACTGAACTGAACTGAACTGTACTCACCGTGACCCCGCCGTACATTTACCCACTAATCGGCAACCAATATCAAACGCACGCGAGGCAAATTCATGTGAATGAGCTATTTGTTGTAGAAACAAAAAAAGGAATTGTAAAATATGTACAATCATAATAAATGTCAGTGCCAGTATATAAGTGGACTTTAACTTATGTTATGCCATTCAGTTGGGCGTTCCAGAAGTCGGCTGGTTCCTACAGTTGAAGAAAAACAATTGTTGGGAAAACATATGGTCGGCGGAAGGAAGTAATACCTTAAAATGCACATACAATTTTCATACTAATTAAGTGCACTGCAGTAGTATGGATAGTTAAGCTTAAATATGTAAATTTCGTCGATGGCAATTGACGCGTCTTCAGATGGAGACAGTATGGGGCAATGTGTATCATCTCTACTTCCTGCAATTGCCTCCCGGCATTTAGCCTGGCTGCCATAGCGGTCCCTCGATCCATGAAACTAATCAATGACAGTATGGCGAGCCATTTCGTGGCCGCAATCACCATAGGTAGGGCTCAGGCGTATGGCATCTGAACGGCTAACAAATGAGGAAAACTTACCACACGGTAGTGCATATAAAGGACTACCAATAATTGATTGCTTTCCTACTGAGCCACCACAAACAGTAGTCATGGCAAAGGGGTGGTCCTAACAGTTTTTTGAGGATATTCCTCACGAACTCCTTGTTGTTACGTCCGTGAACTGGAACGAGTTGTTTCGTCTATAAATCATGGAGAATAAATAAAGCTGCATATTTACATACCACTTCTTCCCGATAATCGGCATCATCGTTTAGCTTCCCTTTGAAGTCTTCGAATGCGTCCTTCGTGCATAGCGGCAAGCGCAGTGCGGGAGACCTTTGACCGACAAGGACGGTGGAGGTATGTATTTGCCAAAGTATTTCAACCATGAGGGCGCAATGTTGTCGAAATTCCTCATGATGGACCGTCTGATTATGGACTAAGTTCTCTAGTTTTTTACTAGACGAATCTAATCCAAGGTCGTAGAAAACGTCCTAACCGCACAGATGTAAATTCCCTGTGCACAGATTTACAAATGTCACTCTGCGCCACAGAAGCATCCTTTTTCGTTTGCAGTCTGAAATGTATAATAAATATAACCTGCTTACTGAAGTAAAGGGACTACTGAAGGTGAAAGCCTGCCCCATCTGTCAGAGGAAGTAGGTAGGTTTTCCTCAAGTGTTGGGTTACAGACCATCACACTTACTGCTACTTGCTTAAGTATGGTTGCTGGCGACAGCCAACCAGCTAGTCGCCTTATAGGCTGTCGTTCCACTATGTTCTCGTCATCATCATCCTCCGAATCGGAAGTTCATCTGCGAACAAATCTACAAAAAATTCATAATCACAAGTGAATCCTACTTCGTTCTTAAACTTCGGCCCAACTCCGTGGGCTACGAAAAGGAGAGGTCCGGCATGTCCCCGGCCTTGTGTGCCAGCCGCCGGGCCGGCTGCCTTTTTCAAAAAACTTATGTGCTTTTAAAGTTGGATTTAAACTTAATTAAATGTGGAGGGAATAATTTTAAGTGTTTTTCTGTGAGCTCGAACGATTTTAGCCCTTCATTATGGTTAAATTTCCTTAAATACAGGCCTTTTCACTCACGACAGCCTGTTGCCATCTCTTTTCTGAGCACTTGGCATTTTTAAATCTAATCAATTCTCTTCGTAATGAGCGGCAGTCAGTGGTAGTTTTTTACCTTGATCTTAGCAAAAGCTTTGACAAGGTGCCCCATAGACGTCTTTTACTAAAATTAGAAGCTCTGGGCATTCGCCCGCCTCTACTCGACTTTATCAGGTCCCATCTGTCCGACCGATATCTGAAAGTCATGGTCGGTAATAGCTACTCGACACCCCACTCGATCACGAGTGGCGTACTTCAAGGCACGGTTCTGGGTCCGCTACTCTTCCTTCTGTACATCAATGATATTTCGATTGAACTCGGAAATTCGCAAACTTTTATTTATGCCGACGATTTCAGTTGTGTTTACTCACATTCTAAGGAGACTGCAAATATTTGTGTTGGAAAAATGAATGTCGATTTACTACGGTTATGCAAATTGATTCAGCCATGCAGATGGCGTTTTCATCATCCAAGTATAGTTACATGTCTTTTGGGCCAGCCAAACTTTCTGGTCCCATAATTTTTCAGAATAAACTACTCTCAAAATGCCTCACCATAAAGAACCTAGGTCAAAGGTATTCAAATAAGCTTGCTTTATCACCTCAGGCAGACAAAATCTCTGCCAAAGCCGCGCACATATGTGTATTCATATCGCATCCTTTTTTCCTTCCGGAAATGAAGCTAAGACTTTATCAAATGTCTGTCCTTCCAGTCCTCGAATACTGCTGTCCTTTCTTCGGTTTAATGAACGCCTGCGACTGTAATAAAATCGAAAATATTCAGAAGGTTTTCACCCGGAAACTGTTCTCTCTAGCCTCGTCCGATATTTCTTATACTCAGAGATGTCAGTTGGCGAAAACTAAGTTTTTGTGGGTAAGGAGACTGTAAGCTGGCCTTTGCTTCCGTTTTCTCATTAACTCTAGCTCAATTCTTCCGCCCATTAGCACTCTCCATCCGAGAGATAGGCCTTATGCCACGCGCAACGCCTCCATGTTGTTTCGGCCGACTCTTTGCATTACATCTTACCGCTCCATCTTCTTTGCCTCCAAATATGACTTCCCTTGGAATAATCTTCCGTCTTAAATTAGATCATCGCCTTAGTTCCTTGTATTTAAGTCGAAATTACGCAAACATCTCACACCGGAAAGCATAGAGGCACTGTTAACTGTCTCATTCCCGAACACTTAGCAACTTGACTTCGAGAAGTGTCCTCCTGGTATTTAGTGGTATATCAAGTGGTAAGCCTTAATTATATTATTAGAAACCCCTGTTTTTAATTGTCTTCTAAATCCACTGCTATCACTACTCCCCCATAGCAACGATTTTTGCGGTTTTGATGTCATCTCCCGTATTCCGACCTCATGCGGTCTGTCGACGCTGACGGCGGAACCCTCAGTATTCGCCATCTACTAGTAATTTGCTCGCACCTCTCTTCCCGACTTCTCAGCTGGGCTCGAAGCGTACTCTGGCCGATCGCGTCGGGGTTCCTCTCGTCTGCCCGCTTTGACGCGAATAGTCTCATACGGCGCATAAATCCGGCCCAGACGATGTCAGTTGTGAATCCCGTATACAATACCACATGCAGGCCAGTCCTGTCTGACCCGCATACGTGTCTCTCAAGGCTGACATTTATTGCTGCCTTGACGATATCCGATTATATCCGTTATATACCTCCACATACAGGCCAGTTCTGCCCGCATTTTTCTGTCATTATATTTTATTGAGTTGTTTTTTTCTCCTGTAAAATTAATCCAATCATTTTTAAATTTTTGTGGAGTTTTTTTACACCTCAGTAATCATTTTTCTCAATGAACTACTAATTCAGAAATTACGAATTTCATTTTGCAAAGATTCTGCCTACCTCGTCTAAAATTCGCATGGTAATTTATTTTTTCTTGCTTTGATGGGACCCCGACGGGTCTTTAGTAAAAAATATCTATCTGTCTACTGTTGGTCTGTGCCTGTTGACCAAAAGTCGCACTCTGCAATTCACATTTTGTGCATTCGATTTCTCTCTAACGGTGAAATTTATTTTTTACATCGTTAGCCTCTAGCTGAAATTCAGTCACCTTTTCTGCCAAAGTTCATCAACTACAGCGGAGAAACCGCGCGATATATTTGACCTGTCGACAGGCAGCCAGATTTGGCGCACTGAACAGCACAAGTAGTAGTTAATAGTCCAGACACGTGTTTCATCGATATTCTGCTATTACATAAAACAGAGGCGAGGGATTCGACTTGTCCCCGTGTTGCCAAACGTCTCCTGTTTGCTTTCCTTGCAAATGTTTCAATTTTAAAATTACATCATTTTTAATTCCCAGAACTTAGTCACTAACTCGGAGTAAATCAGTTAACTTTAGGCCTAAAGGCCCAGACTAAAATTTGACATAAACTGATTTCCTCCAAACTACCGACCAATTCCTGGGAAAATCAAACAGTTTCAACTTAAAAATCAGACTGATGACCAGAAGAGACCTTGGCAGACCTCGAGAGGGGCACTACGCGGAGCCGGGCCCCTCGCAGACATGTCGGGAACCGGCGGAGTATCGACAAAACACGTGCATGGGCTTTTATCTGGTACCTGCACTCTCAGTAATGACATATTATGCTACCTTTTTTCAAAAGAATTCACTGGAGATTGTCGAACGCCCGAAAATCTGCAGGACGCTCAGTTACCTACCACTCACTCGTGGATTTATACAAAAAATACTATTTACGCAGAAAATAACCCTTCGTTCCACTTTTGCAAACAGTTTTCTATGCCTTTTGACAGAACGCGTCAGAATTACTTAACTCGCTCTCTACTGGGCGCGAAGAATCACCTATAATCTGTCCTCACGAACTCTGTACCTTCTGAAATCGATCACAAATAAGATAAACAATGAGATGTTGGCCCGCTGTAATGGAGAGAATTCCATGAACCATTTAGAGCTCCACGCTAAAAGGACAAGCAAGTCAGCGTGGGTTTGCGCCAGGCAGTGTTGGGTTGTAGATTTATTGAATGAGTATACGCATTTGAGGATATCACGATAAGCAAAGCATTTGGAATGTTCGACTGCTGACGAGATGTTACTAATGTGAGCAGAAACAAAAGAGGACCTAAAACGGCACCTTGTAGGACACCACCTACAATAGGGCTATCATAGGAAAATGAAGATCCCACTAAAACCTTTTGTTTACGATTAGGTATGTATTACTTACTAAAGTCATTAATGTGGCTGCGAAGTCTCAGTGCTGCAAATTTAAATAAGATTCTTTTATGTGGCACTTTATCAAAGGTTTTACTAAGATCAACAATAAATACCGACCACAGATAAATGATAATTACTCAGAGAAGATAGCAGATTGAGAAACGACATATGCTTAGTTCATTTCAGTTCAGATTATTGAGCGAAATAGGCATAAGCATTTGATAACATTGTTTTCAACGTAAAAATGGGTGCGCCGTATAAGGAATTTAACTGAGCTGAAATAATTCAAACGAGCCCATAATGGTTTATAATGGTGTGTCAGACTGGCAGTGAGTGTGATGGGATGAACTCGACCTCTAATCTCTCTTGGTCATTTCGGAAAATAAATATGTCAAGGTTCCTGTTAAAACGCCTTATCGATGTTGGCGTCACAACATCTGCGGGAAGGGCATTCGATAGTTTGGCCAATCGGCCTTGCCTGCTCAGTGCGCAGTTTTAACGGGTGACCTCGGAGGTTGGTCGTGTTAGCGAATTCAAAAAATCCTCAAGGCCCAAGCCGCAGTCCAACCCCATAACTATGCACAATACTTGCAAGAGATCCCCGCGAAGTTGCCTATAACTCAAGGGGAAGAGGTTCACATGTAATAAGAGGGTAGCAAGGTCGAGCCGCTGGTTTTAAATTTGAAGATAAGTGGAGGATATTATTTTGAGTGGTTTTTCTGTGAGACCTAACGATTTTAGCCCCTGTTTTTTTGGTTGAATGTCCTTAAATACAGGCCTCTTCTCTCAGAACTGCCTGCCGCTATCTCCTTTTGAGTTCTGCTAGTCTATGCCCGTTGCTCACTAATCGCTCTCTGCAATTCTCATTTTGTGCATTCGATTTCTCTCTAACTGTTGTAATTTATTTTTACATCGTTGGCCCCTAGCTGAAATTCAGTCAACTTGTCTGCCAGAAGT